ACGTCATCTCCACGTCCTATTTGCAAATTTCGTTGGCTATATTGGAGAAGGTCATCATCCCATTCATAATTGATAAAATTGTCGGATTTAGCATTTTCTAGACGAACAGATCGAATATAATGGTGCATTGTTGTGCCTGTTTCTGTTTGTGAAGAAGTTGATGTGACTGTCTCATTAAACGATGTCTCATCCAAAAATTTTAGGGAACTCGAAGATTCAGAAGGAATGGTCATAACATCTTGTAAGAATTCATTCTGTAATTCAACAAGATAATCTAAAATTGCACAAATATATACACCAGAATTAACTGGTTCAATTAATCCTAATACCACAGGTGATTTAAGATCTATAAATGGTTTTGGATCTGAAATAGTGTGACATTGATAATTTTGAACTTTATTAATAATTTCATTCCAAGACTCAGCAAAATCTTCAAATGCTGATCTCAAAAAATTACTATCAGTATATTCAAATTCAAATTCTCCTCCTTCATTTTCAATAAATTCTTCAAATGTTTGAATATTAGCATCATCCCTATTTAATCGATATTCTAATTTTGAAGATAAGATTTGCACAAATCTCACAATTGGTTGAAGGTACTTTATTAACGATAGTTTTTCAGAATGTTTGAAAAATTGTGCTAAAAATGGATAATCTTTAGAATATTTATCTTCATCACTCAAATAATAAGCATGAAGACTTTGATAACTAATATCAGATATAAATCTCCACATTTTTGGTAAATGTTCAAGTTGATAATTATTATCCATTGCAAGAGTTTGATTTATTTCAGCTTCGATAATACTAACATCCTCCTGAGCCTTATCAGCTGCTGCAAGTTTGTTTTGGAAGTTGACTGCAGTTTCAGCAATATTTCTGACTTGAGGTATGACATATTTATCTTTAAATTCCATTTCCCATTCATCTCGTTCGGCTGAAGTCTTCAATGATGCTATTTTACATGGTCGCCGAGCCATTAAATCCAAAATTGAATGCATAACTAACGCCAAATTCTCATCTGAGGTGTTAAGTATCCTTCTTAGAACTGTCCAATCATTTTTTATATGGTTCATGCAATACCCTCCAGCATCAGTGGCTGTAATGTTATTTTTTTGCAAGAACGCTAATGCTAACTGTGCATGTGCCCAAGCTCCTATTATCGCATGAATGAATAAATGTAAAATACGATATGAAGTAGGTGACATCGTTCTAACTGATTGTGCAGGTTCTTGGTTTATTGGTTCACCAATATATCCAGTCTGGCTCTTGGCACTTAATGGAATTCTAATCGGATTAGTATCCAACTTCATTTGACCTTCTGCTGCAACATGATCTATACCACCTAAAAAATTATTATGAAGTACTTAATTTATATCCGTAAAATATAAAAACTCTAGATCTATTAAGAAGCAATGGACTTTACCTATTCTCCTTCCACAGTCAGGACATGTTCCCGTTCCGTTCGTGAAACCTTTTAGGAAGTGTACGAATTATAGAATGATTAGTTATAGAACAAAGAATAAAAGTCGGTCTCAAATATAAATACCGCAATCTCCAATGACATATTTATATCCACATCTGCATGAATATCTAAAATTTAATTATTTTTTATGTTAATTAAACCTAACATAAATTAAGAAAAATAAAATATTATTAGGTGCAATAATGTACCTAGTTATTTGACCCCCCCCTTTGAAGAACTGCACTCAAAATAATGGATTCTTCATCTGAAGGAGTAGACGGAATAAATAATCCATTACAGTAATGTAAATTCTGTAACAAATTAGCAAGAGGTGATAGATCATGACGAATAGATGCATGCAATGAAATAACATGTCCAATGACAGATTTAATCAATAAATCCTGATTATTGGTAGTTTCATTCAGTCTTAAAAGTATATGTTCATTAGATATAAGATTTTGAATTGTAGTTTTATAGATTTTTGAAAGATGACCAACGCTTTCAATTTTTTCTTGCAAAGTTAATGCTGTTGTTGTTTCATTTTCTGTCCATTCGCGTGAAGCTCTAATTGCGTGCAATCGACTAATAATTAATCCCATTAATGCAACATGTGATAGATTTGAATCTTTCTTTTTGAACTTTGCAAAGAAATTCTTTTCAAACGGTCCTGTATTCTTAAAGTTATGGAGTGAAGCAAATGTAGTTTCTAAACCATTATAATCTTCTATCGATCTGTATGGATTAAAAGGGAACCTATTCGATTTATTATCATCCTCCCATGATAAGCTTGATAACCAAGGTAATGTATATTCTTGAGCTTTACAAAATCGTTTTACATCATCCAACGAGAATTCACTACATCGACGTAAAGCGCGCAAAAAATATATTCTAAGAGAATGGATCAATGGAACTTGTTTATTTTTTTCCATGTTAGAATTAAGTTTACTAATTAAGTCAAATATATCAATATCTTCAATTTGGGGATTATTAATTTCTATAGGGTCGGAAACTTTATTGCCATTATTAGTGTGTTCCCAGAATCGATGAACAAATTCCTTAAGAAATGCTATAGAGGTAATTCTATATAATACTAATTCTGATCCTGATTCTAATAATGCCTTGATAGCATCTTGGAAATATTCTGCCGAATATTCTAAATCACAATTGCAGAAAAATGATTTTTGTAAAACATCACAACATAAAGTTGCCATTAAAGAGCCAAGTCCATTATTTGATAAGCATTTATTAATAGCTTTTAATCTCGGAGACTTCTCCAGAGCTTTTTTAGGCATTTTGAGCAATTGAATGAATATATCCTTATTTTTCTCATCTTCTTGTTGAAAGATTTTATAAATAATTATAGACATAAGTGGGAAAGGATCCTTGGAAAATAAGTTATTGTAAAGCTCTAAACGTATATTTGAAATTAATGGAAGAACATCAAGACATTTAATAATAAATAATTTCCTCGGAGTATGATCTTTAATTCCATCCAGAATTTGAAATACTGTTTTTATAAATTTACTAGTGAAAATTTCCTCTACTTCCTTTGCGTATGCTGCTTTTATGATTTCTTTAATATTTTTTAAAGGAATTTTTTCAGTAGATATTAAATCACTACATATTTGCAAAAGATGGAAAGATTGTATATCAGAAGCTTCTGGGAGTTTTGTGCAAAGTGATATAATCTTGGTTGCCTCATGTTGCCATTCTGGTAGTTGATCAATTTCTATCGATTCAAGATCATATAACTTTTGTTCTGCTACTTCAAAAACGAGGAATTTTTCAAAAGAATGATCTTCTGGATCAATCATAACACTAACTTTTGAACTCATTTGTGCTAGTTGGAATTTTACAAGAACACTGCTCGAATTATTCCACCAAAAAATATGTAAAAGTATTGGATTCAGCACCTTCTCAAGTCCAAGTAACCATTTAAAAATAAGTGACATGATCTGAGGCTTTTTCGTTTTCTTGTAACCAGGTTCGTTTGAACAAATTACTGAAATAAAATCTTCAAAATATAATTCCCTATTCCATTCAAGTGGCGATGATTTGAGATGTTTAATCGAATTAAAAATATTATTCGCGAATCCCTTATTATAATCCTCATTTACATCACTAAGCAATGTTCCATCATCATTTAGATTTTCCGGGTCTTCAAGAAGTTTGGCAATTTCTTCCTCGTAAAGCCTTTTAAAACGATCAATTTGTTTCATAAAGTAGTAAGAAAATGGAAATTTGAGATGATGAACTCTTGCTAGTAATGAATAGCTATCAGCTTTTGGTGGTGGTAATAAATCAATATTGATAACATCTCTATCTGCAAACATTTCTTTCCAAAATGTTTTTAATTGTTCTTGTTGCTGATCTTTGAGATTATCGAGATTTATAAATGTTCCTATTGCAGAAAACCTTTCAAGTGCGCATAATAATTTAGCTAATGGATTTCGAACTATCGTTCTAACATGTGTTAACAATGCTGTAACAAATGATGAATGTGGATACAAATATTTTTTACTAGATGCAACATGATATTGCCAATCCGTCAATGAATCTTCTTGTTCTATATATTCTTTTGTTCTTGCCTTCAATACATCAACAAGTTCTTGATTTCTTGGAATATTTTCTGCTATATATCTATAAAGATTTTACATGGAAATTAATATGATGAAATAATCAAGGAATATCAAGAATGTGATATTGAAAATTACTTCAGATGGTTAACTCCTTTAAGAGTAGAAGGGTACTTAATACATAATAAGCACGACAACAATTCTTGTTTCAAAATCTCTTCAAACGGATAAGTCTCTTCAATGATCTCACAAAGATTTCCATATAAAAGCGATGACAAAGGTTTTTCTTGTCGAACCAAAGTTTCTATTGTAACTTGTTTCCATTTACACATAAAGTTGAAACCTTTCCATTGCATCTGGTTATTTCTATGTATGTGAAGTATTATACATACATGCTTAACTATAAAGTTTTCTTCTTGTTCTCCTGACATTTGAATTTGCTGCTTCATTTTTGTTAAATATTCCAATCGATATTGTTCTATTAAGAATTTGGCTAATTTAATGCATCCTGCATTAGCAGTAGTAAGGTCACATTGTAATACCAACATCTCTTTATTTGGGGAATCAAACCAAAATCGTTTAATTTGATTTTGAAATTCTGCTTCAGTTTTAAAGGTTGAAAGTTTAAGTACTTGGCAAGTTAACACGTTTTTAAGACATTTCGCTATGTCCGTATTAATATTTGAAAATGTGTTTATAATAATCTGATATCCTTTGGTTGTTGGATTTGTAACAAGTAGAGATGAAAAATAATCTTCTAGATTATCATGATGTTGATCTTTAAAGTACACTTTCTTGCATTGTTCTATTTCTTCTGGTTCCAATGCAGATTTCTAAAATAAAATACAAAGTAAATGATGATAATCCATATTCCATATATTGAGCAAAAAAACCTCTTATATCATATTAATATTACCTCAGCTCTGACAACACCATCAGAAGAAGCAATCGCAATTAAGCATTCTTTACATTTTTCCAAGATCTCCAAACTATCCATCCAGTAATAATTTTCTTTAATATCGATAACCAAGCTGTGAATAGTTTCTTCTGGATTAAATCCAATAAACAAATCGCTTAATGTAAATTTATCCTGTGAAGTAGCGAATTGTGATGATGTTAAAGTTGACATTCTGTTTGCCCATGAATTTAATTCCTCAACTAATTCTTCATGATCGGAGGTAAATGTATCTTTCATTGTCATTCTTTGTTTTTCAAACCGATTTAGGAGTGGTGGGTCAGCCTCTTCTATTTTTGATTCATCCATTACAAGAATACATCTAAAGTTCTTTGATACGGACCTTTTTAAAATATATTATGTCATTAATCTTAAATGCATTTAAAAAGATTACAAATAATGTAAATTGAAACTTACAACATTGGATTCGCGTAAGCACCAAGTGCAACTCTGGTATAATATTTAGGATCATCTTTACTACCAACCACTATATAGTTTTGATTCCATAAATCATAAAGACTTCCTATAACATAGGAATTTATTTAATTACGTAGAATTAGTTAATACATAAAATATAAAGAATGGTTTAAAGAATTACCGTAAATTATATCCAAATCAGTTAGAATGAGAGGTCTACCAGCTTCCACACACATCTATATTATTAAATGTCAAATATCAAGCGTCAGGAAAAAAAGAATTCGATATCAATAAAATACCGTACATACCATAATTCTGCTTAAAACAGTATATGAGTAATCACTTCCTTGATCATTTTGATCTTTAGGAAATTGCGATCCAAAAATAACAACTGGCTCCAACTTTCGTTGTCTTAATTGATAGACTAATAAGTTAACAATCGAATCACTATTTCCGATTACCATCAAATGTCTAGCAAATTCATCTTCAAGATTTGCATTAATTAAAAATTCCGTAGATATTGATTCATAAGACCAACTTTGATTGGAATTAAAAATATCTATAACACTTCCAAAATATTTTTTGCATATTTCAGAATAATTATTTGTTCCACCAAAGTTTCTAGCCAAAGACATTTGTATATTTTTGGGAGTTAACTCTTGAGTTGAAAGGCTTTTAACTAAAGAATAGTAATCTCGAAGTCCATGAAAATTTGGAATTTCTTGATCAGATTGTTCATACTTTAAGTAAGCTGTCGCTATGTGTCTTACAGAAGATGGTTGTACTTTTGTGGTTGATTCATCATTTAATAAACGTAATGCTATATCTTCAAGATCGTCAAGAGTTAACAGTGGTCTGTACACAGATTTTATGCATTATGTTAAATTAGTACATAAAATTCTGTACATGCTAAATATATTCATGCTTAAGGAAACAACATGCCTTTGCACTAACAACGCCCTACTACTTTTACTATTATCCAATCTCCAATTACTAATTCCAACAACAGATACAACTGGTCCTTCAGCAGGGTAACTTGGTTCCAGTAGAGAATGAAGAACTTTTAATGGATTATGTGGACTTGTTTCAGCCAATCCAACTTCATCTAATAACACAACACTGATCACAGGAAAATCTTCAGAACTTGTATCTTGAAATTTCTTTGCTTTTTCAAAGACCTTAATTATACCATCAGATGTTGATGATGATGATCCTTGATGAGGAATCAAATATACCTATTTACAATCATATAAATCAATCATATTATTAATATAGAATTTTTCTCTTATGGAACTAATTATCCTATATTTATATACCTGAGGCAATTTTTTAAAGTATGCATCATTAGAATCCGAACCGCGCAAGTTTTGACTTACAAGTCGAATTGCTAGCGATTTTGACGAACTATAAATAAAAATAATTTATAATGACATATTCAATAATTATTAAAAAATATAAGTGGAATGAGAGAGATATGTATTCATACCCAGGAGCTCCTATTATAAACACAGGAATCTTATTGAGAATGCAAACAATCATAACTAGTACATTTTCCAATAATGCATCATTTTTTGCAGTATTAGGCGGAAGTGTCATTCTTTCAACATAATCTTCTTGCTCTTCTCTAATCACATGATTGAATGTTGCTTCACGAATTTGGAACTTATTCTTAAGAAATATTTTACTCATCTCTTGCCTATATGCTTTTCGCTGTTCTTGTTCATATAATCTAGATTGATAACAAAGTCCTAATCCAAGAATATATGAGCGTATAAATCTATCAGGTTTAGCTGGTGGATATACTTTTTTGGCTGGAGGCCGATTTTGTAATGAATTATAAAAGAACTTAATTAAAGTGATGGCTCTTTTGACATCTCTTAAACTAACTGTATATTTTTCCTCAATATTTCGAATAAATTGTTGTGAGGTGAATAACAGATCAGCAAGCATATCGTGATATAATCCATTCTCATTAAGTTGAGTTTTAGTCATAATCTCTATATATTTTCTTTCATCTTTTGGTTCTAAAACACCATAATCCCAAACGTAATCTAAAATTTGGTCAGGTAATGGTTTTACTTCATAAACTAAATTACTTCTTTGTTCATCAAATCTTTTAGCCTGTAATCCTGCAACACTTGAACTTTTAGTTCTAATTCTATATGGATTACATGCAGCAAATATTTTAATGTTTGGATGTATCATTTGGTTGCCTTTATATACTCTGTGAGCTATTAGGTCTGCTAAAAGGCCGATGTGATTGCATGTGTTGATTTCATCAAAAAATAACCAGACTTCATTATGGTCAACGTTTTTCTGAGAATCATCCATAAATTGATTAATCATTTCTTCTGTTATGCCAGCATGAAGATTTAGTGCGTGAAATTCAGCCTCAACTACTCTGGCGAGAAAACTAATCAAGCTTGTCTATTTAATAATAGAAAAAAATTTCATTATCGTCCATTAAAATTCAAGGAAAAAAAAAAAAAAAAAGGAGAGAGAAAAAACCTTGCCACATCCAGCTTCACCACAAATTACTACAGGTACGTTAGCGCGTGTTCTTAATAAAATCAAAGCCATCTTTAAAAGATTATCAGCTGATAAAGCATAAAGTGGATAATTAAGTTTATGAAGCGTTTTACGTGCTAAACCTTCCAATTTTTGCAATAACAAATACATTGGCATCGTCCTATAATCTTCTAATTGCCATGTTTCCCTTGAAATATCTTGACTTTTAAGTAAAGTCTGAACATTTTCGGGAACTTTTGCTCTATCACGATATAAAGCACAAATAGAATCTGGCGTTTGAGACATGAAACATACTAAAAGATGATTAGAATCATCCCAGCTAGTTATATTTCCTAATTGATCAAGTGAATCTGAAAGTGCTTGCTTTTGAGAATTTTTTGTTTGAATTGATCGCGTTGCAAAATCTTTAGAAACACCCATTAAGGTGTTAAATAAAGTTGACCGAATGTTATTTTCTTTAATCATTAATTTTAGATTCTCTACTGTGAAAAATGAACTATATGACAACCGAATCTTTATAAGAAAAAAATTTCAATAATTCGAATTACATAATTCTAATAAATCGCAAAATTACGATATAAATTGAGATCTTACCAATTGATTAGCAAAAACATTAATGAAAATTTCAAGGAATCGATAAGACGCAAGATCAGCCGCAATAGTGTCAAAGAAATATTTGGATAATAACTGTTGACATCTTTTAGTAAGAAGAGGTTTAAATGTTTCCGTGACCTGCCTATAAGCTATATCATATTCATCCAATGAGGCAATCTCATGTAAATTTAAATATTGACAAACTACTTGAATTGGACTATAAACCTCATTTGATACAATTAATTTCTTAAAATTAAATTTAAGATGTGGATTATCTAAATAGCTAACTATTGGTAATAACTTTACCAATCGATTATCTATACTAGAAGCAACTTCGATAAATATATAGATATCCGGAAGGGTTACAATATCACTTTGATGCGAAACAATTCCAAATGTTAATAATTGAAATATAAACATATTAACTTCCCATGGATTATCCGTTGAAATAATATTAACATGTAAAGAATCTAATTCTTTACGAATCGTAAATTTATGAAATTTCCTCACTAATTTGCCATAATCAGCCCCATCATTAATAAGAAATGTACGTGGAATAGCCTTTTTTCTATAACTTTCTTGCTTTATCCATTCAGTTTTTCCTTGACCAGATAAGTCGGAAGTCACACATATTACTTTTTTACATATTTGTTTATATGATTCTTTCATTGACTTCGTACTTAATCCATCAGTTTTACGAACATATTCAGAAAATTGATCCAAGATATGATGATGCATTCCTGACTCTTGGCAACAAATTAAAGCCAGGTAAAAAGTTTTGGCTTTATCCAAAAGATTTCTTACTTGTTTAACCACGTAATATTGTAACTTATAATCAAGAACCTCTAGGTTAGCCATACAAAAAAAATGAACGTCGTATCCGTTAATCGAAGCAAATGAACATCGCTTAATAAATATTGCAATTTCCTCTGAAGTTGTAGTTGATGTACAAATTAAAAGTTGCCATGCGTTAGGATAAAATTTACTATTAGCATATAATGACATTATGATATTAGGGATAACCGATCGATCATCACATGAAGCGACAAATAATTTGCCAGGATACACGACATCAGAAACTACACGTTCACCACATTCCTCAAAAGAAAGAGGTTCCTTTGATAGAGATTCAAAAATGCCTTTTAATTTTATCCCGATGTCACAAAGGATTTTATAATGACTATTCCTAACATTTAATACATCTCTAGGATGTCGTGTTGGTAATCGTGCTCCAAAATTGACATATCTTACAAGGGTCTCGCAAGTCTTTCGATTAGATCCCTTGCTAAAATAGTCGTAAAAGGAGAGGACGTGTCGAGCGGGAAAGAATGTTAAATAGTAATGTTCTTGTTGGACTTTTGATACCGTACTTTCCCTAATAAGTTTCAAAGTTAAATAACGAAATAATTATGCATTTAATTTTAATCTTAGTCCAGACTCTTACCAAGTTTTTAAATCCTTCTCTAATGTTTTAAAATGGTTATTCAATTGCTCCAAACCTTTAACTTCTTTATTAAATTCTCGATAACTAAAATGACCTGCCTCAATAAGTTTAATAGATTCATCAATAATATTTTGTGCTTTATCTACTTGTAATATAAATTCATTCATTATATCTTTTGATTCTTGTTCATCTTCAACGTTTATTGTTGATGCTGGTTTAGCTATCAACAACGCACGACCACGTAAATCCTGTAGATCACTCATAGAATATATCATTTTAACGCCATTTTTAGATGAATAAGATAAGGTAGCAGAACATATATCATCCTTTGATGTCCATTTAAATTCGTAGATACCAATTTTGACCGCATTCTTAAAAATATAAATATATACATCGATTGAGTATAATAATTTTCGCAATTATTAAGACATTGATAAAACTTACATAAATCTTTTCCTTGGTTACTTCACCGCGATTTGAAATAGAAGCTATAAAATTGGTTAATTAATAATTGAAATTAATGATAATAAACAAATTATAAATGTTATAAATACACAATGAATGATAATGATGAGATTATACATACCGTACATATTTTGTAATGCCATATTATTGCTATTACACAAAGTAATTTTACTAGCCAATGAAGAATTGGTTTCTGTAACATTTCTTATTTCTTTCAAAAATCCTTCTAACGAAAAATTTCTAGCATCAATCATAATCGGTAAAAGAAATTGTTTGACTTGAATAAGAGATGATACTGTGTCTTCTTGAATAAGTCTTTCATCAGAATGGTCGTCTACTCCATTAATCAAATTTTTAATATCATGATCCGCTATTGACCGAAGCCACTCTAAAAAATCTCCAGCAGAGGACAATTCTTTAATCAATGCCCAGCATGCATCATCAAGCATTTTAAGCCTTTCATGCAATAGTTCAAAAGAATTACTTAATTTTCCTAATGTCAACGCTTCATCATCTCTTAAGTCATTTAATGTTTCTTGTAACCAATCATCATCATCATCATCTATTTGTATTCTAAAGATGATCACAACTTCAGTAAGCTGTTGCAATTTTTCTATCCATTGGGTAACTTTGGAAATATCAGTTAATGTACTAATTAATTTTTGATCTTTTTCAATATTTGATAAATCAAGTTCAGCAGTAATATCAGGAACTCTATTCCATAAAATTTTGGCAAGTGAAAATTTCTGATCTTGCCATTTCGAATAGCCATTACACTTTTGACAATAGTTTTTAAGAATATTTGGCATTATTTCAACTAGCTTTTCAACTTGTATCGTCTCTTCAGTATGTATTTCATCATTCAAATAGAGATCCAAATAATTCTTGAATGTTTGAGATTTCTTATATTTATATAAATATTCAGCAATCCCCAAAATCGGTGTGTGCATTCCCCAATAATGATTCAAAGATGTATCCCTAAGTGTAGTAACTCTCTTACGTTGATGTATTAACAAAATGTCATCAATATACTCTTTAACATTCACGACGATAGATTGAGGACAAAATTCTTCATAAAAAGAATTAAGATATTCAAGATCTAGTTCATATATTCGACATTTGTGTCGAATATTTGTCAGGTTATCCTTGTTTAAAACTGATAAATCTTCCTTCATAATAGCAAAACCAAAGTATGTAAGTAAGAAATCATCATCATTTTTTAAAAGCTCTTGAAGTAAATTGATACTAATAGATTCTTCAATCAAAAGTTCAGCAAGATGAGAAATAGCATTTCGAACTTCATTAATTTGTGGATGTGTGTGTAATTTATCAACATTTCCTGTAGCTTTTAATATCGGAATCCAAAATTTGCCAGATTTAAGTAAAGTAATATAAGAATTCTCATGAAATACTTGGGAATCAAAAGTATTTTGTAATCGATGCATAATATGACACAAGACATCTTCATTATAACTGATCACGACATAAACGATAAGTTAAGCTAATTAATTTGTAATAAAATATCAATTATTAATAATATTTATATTCTTACCTTGTAGGCACTTTTAAATCATTATCTGAACAATCACAAATCAGGTTAATCTTTGTCATAAGTTGACTATCCGCAATACATATTGATGAATTAAATTTTTCTTTAACCATAGTAATGAATGCTTCAACAACCGGCTGTTTTAATCTTAGTGCTACTTTAGTCACAAAACCAAGGATAATATTTTCAGAAGTAGTTTTAACACGATTTACTGCCATTCCAAGTAAAACATCCCAAACAGGAATTTTGCCAATGTAAGGATAAACACTTGAAATTTGATTGAATGCAAAAAACGCAAATTTATCCTTAAGTTCCTTAAATTTAGTATTTGAGTTGGAAACGCTTGACGCCCGGTCTAGTAAATTGCGATACCATTTCTTGCAAATATGTGTAAGCTTCTGATCATCTATTTCTATTTCCTTGAATGTTTTAAATGCAAAATCTAGCAGTTCATTAAATTTTGTCAAAAAACCAAGATTCGTACTTTGGGAAATAATATCTAGAACTTTGAAATAATCCTCTAAAGGCCATTGAATTTGAACATTCGTTAAAAGACGAAAAATTGCATTCAAATTATCATTTTCCAATGGACGATTTTGGGAAGCGGATAAAATACGTAAAGATTGTTGACGGAATGTCTCAGTAAATATTATTTTGAGGTGCTCAGGCAAATCAAAGTAACAACTACAAAGATAAATGCATGAATGACTACTACTTAAATTATATCGAACACGCTCAATAAGATGCGGTCTAAGTAATTCATCTATCTCAACGTCATGAATAATAATATCTTGCCACATAGTAACAAGTAACTTCATAGTTTTACATTGACTAAGCAACCACTATATAAATAAAATTATTAGAATCATACTCATCGCTAACAATAAAGAATGTGAAAAATCTTATATTCTTAAAATACCTTGGCGATTTTCGTATAAAGTTCTTTATCTTCAATCGTACTAATAAACGGAATAACCAAATCATTAAGATTCTTAAGAAAACTATTCATCGTTTTTTCACCATAATGAAGATCTGGTACGAAATTGATGAATTCATATTTTGGGTCGATAAAATTGACTACACTAAATACTTTAAGCCAATCGAATAATTCAGCTTGTGAGTTATGTTGAACCAAAAGTGGAATAGTCAATGTCAAAATTTTATAAGTATCAGATGGGAATGTTTCAGCATTAACGTTCTGGAGCGTGTCAAAAAAAAGATATGATGGGAAGTTGGTAGGTAAAAAAGAATAATGAGAATCTCTTTCCTTAACATGATACCCAAAAAGAACGCATAAGAAAAGCCTCTTTTCCAAGGATTTATCTTCTTCAAATGATCTCAAAATAAAATCAATTGACGTTGCCGCCTTTGTTGATTTTGGATAAACCTTCAGAATCTTTTCATACTTCATGACCTGTTCTTTAAGGTTCTCGTGTGTAACAGAGTCATATATGATTTTTACTAAATAAACATCCTTAATTTCTTGAGGGAAATAGATTTTACTATTTTCATTCCAGATCTCATATATATTACCACCATCTACCTCAAGCACACGTCCATCAAAATCATTTTCACCTTCAAATATTAAAGGTTTGTTTTTCTTTTTGTTTTTTTTTTCCTTGATTGCATACTTGTACTTAATATTTCGTTCCTCAAACTGTGTAAGAGGAATTCGAATTGGTTTCGATTCCCAGCATGAAGTAAATTTACCATAAATTTTTTTCTCAGTAAGTTTAACTGTGATCTTTTCCCAATCTCCTAATTCCGGTATATTACCAACAACATCTAATATTGAATAAGAAAATAAATAAATATATGATTTTTTTATTTTAAATAAAATTTGTTGTAAAACTTACGTAAAGTTCCCGTTTCATTGATTTTTGGTGGCATGTGAACATAAAATACAATTACCACGGAATCGGTTTCTTTCTGAAAAACATTTCCAATAAACTTTCCAACAAAATTTGTAATTCCAGTTTCAGAAGTAGACTGTTCATCCAGATCAAAGGTGCCTTCATTACTTTGAGTCGAGTTGTCGTGTTTCAAGTCCTCATGTTCTACTCCAACATCATGAATTTCTTGCTGAATATATTGACCGCTTTGTAATGATGTGGAATGATCAGAAAGATTTTCATTATATTTTTTTTGCTCGTCATCTTCATATTCTCGGTTATCGGTGTCATCGTGGTCATTTTTAGTAACATCTATTATCTGCTTTTTTTTATTTTTCTTGGATAATTCAGCTTCGTCAGTACTATCCATGCTTTCTTTGAAATTAATATCTTGATTGGCATCAGTCTCGCAAAGTTTGATATTATCACTTTCATCTATATTATTTGGTCGAATATTGCCTTCTTTTCCTTGATTTTTCAGCAAATCTATGTGATCCTGTTCTTGTAATTCATTTGATACAGTATTAGCTTTTAGGGATAAATCATTTTCGTTATCTTTAATATAAACTTTTTGCTCTGACTTTACAACCGCAGTAGCAACTCCTAAACTTTCGTTATGAGAGCCACCCTCATTATTTGAAATAGCAGAATAAGTATCCAATGACGCGATTGCAATATTATCTCTATCTTCATTTAAATCATTTCTTTTATGATAATCATCTTCATGATAGATATCTGACGATTCAATTGCAATATAATCTTGATCATTTTCATTATTCAAATTCTTTTTTCTATTCGAATGTTGATTGTTAGACTCAACACGCCCAATATTATTATATTGAGACCCATTTCTGTTATTTGAAATGTTAGGTGTAATTGCAACACGTTCTTTATCTTCATTTAACTCATTAGTTTCATCATAATTTGACCTGGCTTTGTTTTTTCTATTCGAACGTTCCAATATAGTCGTAAGATTTTTTTTGATTTCCTCCTTATTTTCCTCATTTTTCTCTCTATTAACATTATGCACCGCAGTAGCTGCTAAACTTTCATTATCATGCACCACAGTAACTGCAGGAATTTCATTTAGGCGAAGATTAGGCTGGTTATTTGAAGTATTAGAATATGTGTGAGGTGCAATTGCAATACTATCTCTATTTACATTCAAATTATTATTTCCACCATTAGAACCTTTACTTCTTCTATTAGGACGTTTATTATTAGATCCATCAGGCACTGCAGTAGTAATTGCAGTAATTGTTGAGCTTTCATTGGGATGAGAATTACCCACATCATTCGAATTATTGGTATAGTTATCCGATGGTCCTTGTAATGTAACAGCTGCTAAATCATTTTTGTCATTT